AGTAAACGCAGATGCTTATGCAGGACAGTTCATTCTTTTGTGGTGCCGGTTATGGGGGTCTCCTTCTGCAGTGTTTGAATTTACTGACTTTAGAATCTATGCATCAATATTTTGGACAGTTTTGTGGACATATCTCTTGACTTTCGAATGATTGAAAATTTAATGAAGTATTTAGATAACATAACAATTTCAACAGGAGACTGAGAATGTAGATGCAGGTATGTAGCGATTTGTGTCTGCAAAAATATTTGTGAAAATTTTGTGAAAAATGTTGTGACACTAAGACGGGGGATCTGGGAGGATCTAGTTTTGTCAAATGCATGCCTCTTTCTCGCCTCCTAACTATTGGTGTTGTGAAGTGAACATTGACTGCAGATTTTAAGATATTCACGTTTATCTGATTTGCGTATTTGTAAATGAAGACTAAAATCCCACAGGTGGATGCTGTTTTAATTTCTGTACAAGTTATTGAAAATTTAACAGTCATTGGTGTTAATTTGTATTGTAACATGCACTGACATTTACTTATAGAAAGCAGTTGATTAGCATATTTATTTACAAAATTGGTTTTCAGTGTTTGTCTTTCCTACCTCCCCCACCCCTTGCTCTCCTTTTCCTGTAAAGTTGAGTTGAGCTATTTCAGCAGATATTTAGTAGCAGTTGAAATGTTAACTGGTTGGTTTACAAAGTGTCTTTTATTTTTTGTTTTGGTAGTTTTGTTTGTTGTGTTTCATTTTATAGTAGTTGCCAGCATGGGATATTCTCCCTACATAGTCTTTTTAACAAAATGTGTCTTGCTCACAGCACTAGTGTATTGCCTTCCTTATGCTTGCATAGTCAGTTTAGTTATGACAATTCTGCTCAGAATTCGCTTTTGGTAAGTTGTTTTAGTCTATCCACATATAAGCAATCTGTAAGATTGTTTACGAAAATTCTTTTATTCTAAAATTGTGAAGAAAAAAACTCACAGTATGCATCATCAAATAAACTTTTTTCTTTCAAAACTTAAGACATAAATATGATGAGATCTTTAACACTTTTAGAGTGCCAGTGGATAGGGATTTATTCTCCTGCCTGTTGGTACCAGGAATTCTGTAGCTTTAATTGCTTAATTATTTGAGCGTTTCCTAGTATGGTGCTTCTTATCCAGATTGAAGTGTTTCATGCTTTCATTTATGCTAGTGGAGGTTGAGATCTCAAAGATGTAATTGTGGATTGAAGTGAGAATACTAGAGCTAATGTTTTATTGAAAGGTTTTAGTTATCAGGCTTCAGAAATAATTGTTTAAAAAGAGGCCCATTTGTGTTTTTCTTTTCTCAAATATTTTTGTAATATGAAGCTATGAATACATTGTGATATTTGTAAGTTTCCGGGGAAGGAAGACATTTCCCATTTATTAAGGCTTTTTGTTGTGTTTTAATAGATTCAAACTTTGTGGCCCGGTTTTTTGTTTTTTTGGCCACACCTCGTGGCTTGCTTGATCATAGTTCCCTAGCCAGGAATTGAACCTGGGTCCTTAGCAGTGAAAATGCTGGGTCCTAACCACTGCACCACCAGGGAATTCTCCTTATTTTCTTTTTCAATTGAAAAAATACTAAAGCTTTTGATATTTATTTCTTTGCAAATGGAGAGGAAAGATAGGAGAATAACTCAATAGACTTTCATCAGTGGCACTGTGGCTCTGATAATGCTGGTGTTTGGGAAAGGCATGATAATGTGAGTGGGAGTGTGATGCCAACTTAAAACTAAAGAATAAATTGAAAACTGAGGGGAAGCCTTCAAAGTCTCTGAAGTAGGGAAGACTTTATTTTTTTTGGGGGGGGAAGACTTGAATATTTACATTTTAATCTTATTTCTAACTTTTCCCTTATACGTTGAAGCATTTACTTATTGAAGTCTGTTCATATATTAATTGAAAGAGTTTTCCCCTTCTCAGTCAAATCTACATTTTATTCTTTTGTGATTTGTCTTTCTCTCTGTGCCAAATCTTTAGATTGAAAATTCTAATTCTCACATTATATGCAATCTAATTTTTAATTAATATATATGAGCAAATGCTTTTCTGTTGTAGGTTGTGTGTGTATATTTAGACAAATAGGATTTAAAATATATTTTAATATTTTTAATGCAAGTTTAAGGCATTTTATCTGTACAAAAATCATAAATGTTTCATAGTAACATTTAGATAATTTGTTGGCTACTGATAGAAGTTCCTAGATAGATGATCAGAAAAATTTCTCTATCAATTAGAAAACTTCAATTTCTATTTTTCCCCCGCAGGGTTTTTTTTTTGTTTTTGTTTTTGTTTTGACTAGGACCTCCCTGCAACCTAGACCTGTTCCTGAAACTCAGTGTTATTTTAGGCCATGTTTTGGTACTGTTGACTCTCTGAGAGAAGTGACTACGTCTTTACTTCATTGCTGGTCTTCCCTAAGTTGGAAGACTCAACAGTAGCAGAAGTAAAATCTTGGGATAATCACCCTATAGGTGAATCTTGTAGTACTGGATATCACCTGTGAAAGCTACTTTGTCTCTGTGGGAAGAAACTTTTTTAGAGTCAAGAATACAAAAGGAGGGGTAAGGTTGGATAATTAGTCCTCACTACATTGTCTATTGCAGCCCAAACCCCTTGAAGTCTTCAAAGGTTGTGTTAGGGATGGATCTAACATGGGAGAGAAGCTGTGAGACCATGCTTCCCAGCAGTAGGTCAGAGGAGGAGAGAGTCCTGATTCAGGCAACAGATTATAGGCAGGGAAGAGAGGCAATTAGTATCTGGAGCCCTCAGAAAGACAAGAAAAGAGGTAATAGATGACCTAAGTATACTAAGGTCATGTATACTAAGAAATAGCCTGTTGCCCCAATTGTGGAAAACACTACTGTTGATTTTTTTTTTTTTTCCTTTGAGGAAGGAAGGTATGTTGGAAGTAGGGTCCCGTTGGGGATAGAGGTTTGGGGGGCAGACATGATCATTTCCTTTGATACTGGAAGGAAAAATGTAAGGTTAGGGTTAGTCATCTTGATGCAGCGTGTTGGGATAGGGTGCCTGTTCCTAAGTTGCAGGTAACTGGAAATAGCTAATCAACTTTTAGAACACATTCATTTTTAAGTTATTAATGTTTTTGAATTAGTGAATGTGAATTTCAGTGTATGCCTATGTATTTTTATAGTAACAGATGATGAAATTTAAAAAATTTGTTTATCTTGTTGCATATTTATTTCTTATTGAATCTCAGTTATAAATTATAAAAAAGTTGTTTTTATCAGTTAATCAAAGCTCTAGATTTTCTAGATCTTTTTCAATTCCACTTACACTTATCTTGGCTTTTAGTTCTTTATATTCAGTAAGTCAAATGTATGTATGGGATTTACCCACCTTTTCCTTTATAAATTCACATTAGGACTGAGAATGAGCTCAGGAAAAGTTAAAGACGTTAATATTCACTGTTGTGTGGAGGGTGAAGAACGTTTGATACATAAGTGATTTTATGTTGAACAGATTCTTGTTCACTTATGTGGATGCTCTACATAAGTTTAAAATATTTGTAATTAAAGTTACTTTCTAACTTTTTTGAATCACTAAAAATTGATTCTAACCCTAACTAATGGTTGCATTGTATGTTAGAAAATAATCATACATATTTCCATTTTAAAAACTACCATATTGTATCATATCATATCTTTTTCTTTTGGTTCGTCATTTGTTTGTCAACTGTTGTCCTTATTCTTTGGACCTTTTAAAAATGTGACTTGACAAGAAATATCTAACTGGACCAAACATTGTTTATAATTTTTTTTTAATAAGTTTTGATTCTGTTCCACCATGATTTAACTTACTTGCAAGTCATGGGACCTTACTTTGACATCACAGTAACAAACATTGTGAACTTTTTAGAGACCAGTTCTTTAGCAAATGGAGTTTTTACTTCTTTAGCTGACATCATTCATTCTAGTAGCATTTGCCTACTAACAAAATTTCAACTAATGTTTAGTGTATAAAGTGTGATATGGTTGGTTCCTTTTCTTTCTCTTAGGCCTTTCTTGCCCGCTTCCCGCAGTAGTATACCATCTAGATTATTGTAGGTCTGGAATTTAAGATTGTTTTCTAATATTTATCATAGTGCTTTTATCTGATATTTTCATTTCCAGTCGAATCACCTGATTGTATATTTTAGTTTCTAATGTTTTATTTGCTTTTGTAAAATATTTTCATAATTTCTTTTCTTGTTACTAATAATGGTAAAATAGCCTGTTTATTTCTTTTAGCACCTTTGGCTTTTATGTCAGTGCAGTATAGATTATCAAAACATCTTCACTGTTTCTAGTTGTTCATTCATCCTGTCCTGTTTTGAAAGAAAGTCATTTTATCAACATTGAGTGGGTGGTTTTCTGTTTTTTATAATACTGCAAGAGTATTCCTGATTATACTGTTCATCTTTGGCTTGTGTAAAACAAAGAAAATACTTAAAATTTTCTCCCAGGCTGATTTTTGGGGATGTACCTGATGTTATCACTTAAGTTGTATAAAACACAATTTCTACTCTAAAATTCTTAGCTGAAGAAATTTTTGGCATAGCTTTCTTTTCCAGTAGACCAGTTGATGGAGAATGATAGCACACTTTTTCTTTAAAAGATAACTACTAAATTTTGAAACAGCTTTTATAACGAACTTAGAAACTTTTTTATAGTGTTTTCTGAAATTGAATGTACTGTGGAAACTGTGTGAGTAGAATCTTATTCATTTTGTAGAAGAGGTAAAATTCTAGCCCAAAAGAATCAAAGTCCTAATAAACTCACTAACAAGTTGTGTCTTAGAAGATAGTTTCTTCTGTTCCTCTATTTACTTGTGACCTCTCCTATGTCTTTTTTCCTTCTGAGAAAAATCCCTTGTAATTTTATAGTGTTATCTACCCTCTTATTTACTTGTAAGTTATTGGCTCAGATATTTAAAACTGAACAATTTTACAGTTTGCCTCTCTCTTTTTTGGTTAAAGTAGTACAAAATGTCAAAAATTAGAAGGAAGGTCACGGTGGAAAATACCAAGACCATATCTGATAGCACATCCCGAAGACCCAGTGTATTTGAAAGGCTCGGACCCAGCACTGGCAGTACAGCAGAGGTGAGTCGGCACTAGTATAGTCACAGGGGTTCTCTTAAATTACTGCTCCTCAGGCCCTTGTTCGTATCGCGAGCGTGACTAGGCTGTTGTACGGATATTGGTTAAATGTGTGTCACAGCAAAGCAGTGCAATGGGCATTAGGGTTTATGGGCCTCTTTTTCCTGATGATTTCATTATTTGGGGAGTAATGTATCTCAGGTTAGCTGGATTTTTGATAGCATTTATTTTAATTTTGTCCCACTAGCATTTTTTTCCAGAAATAAATATGACTAAATATGAAATTCACATAGTAATATCTGTCTCTTAGACACAGTGCCGTAACTGGCTGAAGACTGGCAACTGCCTCTATGGAAACACATGTAGATTCGTACATGGCCCTTCACCCCGTGGTAAAGGTTATAGCAGCAATTATAGAAGGTAAATTGAGAACTTTGAATTGTTCCTATGCTATTAGAAGATGGCTGTTGTAATTTTTTTTTTTTTGGCTTTTGTAATTTATCTAGTATAAAATTTGAAATACTGCCATATATTTGGTTAGATTTTCTATTTTGGTGGTAGTCTTATCAGTAGTCAAGATTGACAAGATTATTTTAGTTGTTAATTTCAAGATTAATAAACATGTTTGCTTTAAAATTTATTTGCTCAAAAATTTGTTTTTGTAATGTATGTATGGCTTACTTTCATGCCCTGCTCCCTAGTTATATATGTTAAAATGCTGTTTAAGATGGCAGAATTTCATGGATTTGTTTTTAGTGAGGATAGACTATTTTCAACTCTTGAAATAGTAAAATTTAAATAGAATATAATTTTTAGCTTTTTAAGATGTTCAAAATTAAAAACTTCATTGCAAAAAATAATCTAATGCAAGCTTCATAGGTTAAAAAACATTTGCCAAATCTCTTATCACAATATACTGAGGTAGATGAAAGTATGTATTTATATGTAGATAAGTATACTACCTATTTAGAATGTCATTTTGCCTTTAATAAAGGCATGGCTAAATTAGACCTTCCTAATAAAAATCTTTTACTTTTCTTTCGGCTCCCTCATGATGATTTTGTTATGGTGTTTAAAGATGTCACATACATAAAGATTGTCACAAAAGAGTTTAAACTTGACTGGTAAACAACTAATTTACCTAGTCTTAAAATTGGATGTGCTGATTGCTTTGGCTTCAGCATCAGTATAAAAACTGCACATTAACCTTTAGAGGTATGTTTTTCAATTGGGTGAATTTTTGTGTATGTGTACTGAGTTTGAAGTTTAATACAATTTAAAATTCAAACCCTTAACATTAGCTGATTTTCTGTTCACTTAAATGTTATACATTTTAGTTTATTTGTGATGCTGAATACTCTGTTTTATTTGTATTTAGATTGTCACCTGTCCTTTCTGTCAGTGTGGGAAAATTAATCTTTATAAGTTTAATACCTGTAAATACATATCTAAGGAAACTGTTACAGTAATTTTAATGTCTTGCTTATATTACTGTATTTTTAATACATGCTTTATTTCATCTTTGACTTTTATTATCAACTTACTCAGAATTTTTATACAAGTGGTTGTAAGGAAAATGGGCATAGAAATTTGTCTAAAATGGAAAAAAGTAGTGTCATTACTAGATGTAGAATAAAGAATTTCTGTTACAATTTTGCTGTTTTGTGCATTTTTCCCCTGATAACTTCCTTTGTATTTGTGTATTTTCCCTTTTTTTTGTAAGGAAGGAAGAAAAATATAATTCATAATGTGATTCAAAGATGAAAAGAAAAGCATTGTGTTTCAGAAATACTTGTTTAGTCACAAATCATTTAACTCACTGAGTGTTTACTGTATGTGGAGAATTCTGTTAGGTACTATTTAGGATAGAAACAAGTTATCATAAACAGTCTTATTACATAAAGGAAACTAGGAAACATAAAATTGACATGTGCACCATAATTATAATTTAAAGCATTTAAGTGCTGGTTCTTAATAAGAAATTCCATTTATTAGTTCAGCTTTAACTGTTAAAACATTTAATATAGATCTATAAATTGTGCGTGTAAATGTAAATGTTAGGAGATCCCTTAAAAAGAATTGAAATTATTTTTTCACTAACCATGTGATTTGTATTAGTGATTGATAAAGGAGTTGATTGATCAACTATTACTTGAAATAGATGTGAATATTTATGTAATTTGTTTATATCTTTTAAAAATATTACACTAGTATTCTTTGGTGGCTAAAGAGGACCATAGCATTTCTTAATAATTCTTGCCCTCTTTTAATGGTGCTCTAGGAATATTTTTTAAGGCAGTGTGTTTTCTGTCTCTACTTTGTTGTTCTCCTTAGTGATGGTGTGAAAATAATTGAACAGCCATTTATCAAATGGCTAGTATAAATTATGAAGCTTTACCAGTATTGAATATAAATATGTGTATTTTTTCTAATTAAAACCAGTCGATAGCAAAGTATAAAATCTTACTTTGTATAAGTATAAAAAGTATAAAATTCAAATCTTTCTTTGAATTTTTCAACTGCTTTTTTTCTGAAATAATTTCAAATTTAAGAACAATTAAGAATAACATTAAAAATTTCTATATTTGCTTTGATTCTTGAGATGCATAAAATATTTTCATAGTTATTAATGTTGCATCCAACCACATACATGTGTAAATAACATTGTTGTTTCTAGATTAATTTTGCAGTGTTGTGGTTTAAAACTTTACCTTCCTACTGTTTGCTTTCAAATATAACTAGTATATTTATGTGATTAATAGAAGAACAAGCTGTTAATGACAAATTCCTTTCTCTTAGCTCATGTATCGTTTCTTATCAATGTCACCAGCACCTGCCACTCCATGGAATTTTAATGTATGCATTTTGATTGGTATTGGGAGAAACTTGTAAGTGATGTTCATATTTTTTATATGTTAATGTTTAAGTTGAAATTTACTTTTCTGAACTTTAGGAGTCATGGATAGTAGAAAAATTAGAGTTTTGTAGGGTTATTTCTGTAAATATATTCTTATGAAATGTTATATAAATATAGATTTTTGTTGTTTTGTTTTTTTGTTTTGTTTTTGTTTTTGGTTTAAAGGTCACCAGAAAGACCTACAGGGGATCTTAGAGAAAGAATGAAGAACAAGCGCCAAGATGTGGACTCTGAGTCCCAGAAACGAAATACAGAGGAGTCATCCTCACCTGTTAGGGTAGGAATGAATTTCCTGAAACAAAGTTAAATTTTAGTAGTGATTTATTATATATGTTCTATTTTAAATATTATCTTATGTGCTAAATAATAAGTGTGTAATATTACATTGTCATTTTCTATATGGATAATGTAGAGGAAAAAAGTCCTGGGAAAATTCATAATTTCACCATTTTAGTTCTTGGTTAAGATGATGGGAACTGGTTGGCAGAGCACCAGCTGCACTTTATAGGATTTCTGTGCCTTGGTGGACATCATGAATATCTAAATGTATTCTTAGCCAGCCATCAGTCCCTGCCTACTTCCAAGAAAGACTGAAAGGCTTCAGTAGAACACTTTTAAATTAAAAGAATGAAGGCAAGGCATGGTGGTGGCAGAAACTGAACTATGATCACAGAATTTAGTGTGAATTTCCTGCCAGTGAAATGAAAAGAGAGCACAGTTTATGATGTAGTTTATTGATTAAAAGAAAAGATAGATGTTTGTCAGGAATGGAAATTTCCCAGAAGTAAATATTTTTAAAAGAAATTTTTCATGCTCTTGTGTGTGCATTTGCAACAAATTTATAGAGATACAGTTCACCCATTTAAAGTGTACACTTGGTGGTTTTTCATAAATTCACAAGAGTCCTATATCCATCACCACAGTCAGTTTTAGAACAATTTTATCACCCCAGAAAGAAAACCACATACCCTTTAGTGATCATTTCCCTGGCCCCTCAATTGACCACCAGCCTTAGGCAGTTCCAGTTAGACTGTCACATAGACTTGCCTGTTCTGGTTATTTCATATAAATAGAGTCATACAGCATGTGGGGTTTTTTTTTGTGACTGGCTTCTTTGACTTAGCGTAGTTTTTTCAAGGTTCATGAAAGCTTATGGGATATAGCAGTATTTCATTCTTTGTTTTTGCCAAACAACAATCCATTGTATTGATATATCACTTTCTGTCTATCCATTCATTGGTTGGTGAATATTTGGGTTTCTGCATTTTGGCTCTTATGAATAATGCTGTTATGAACATTGGTATACAGGTTTTTGCGTGGCCATGTGTTTTCATTTCTTTTGAGTTTATGTCTGGGAGTGAGATTGCTGAGTCATATGGTAACTCTATTTAACCTTTCAAGGAATTGCTGGGATGCTTTCCAAAGCAGCTGTGCCATTTAAAATCCTTAGAGCAGTGTGTGAGATTTCTAATATTCCACATCCTTGCCAACATTTGTTATCTAACTTTTTGATAGAGCTGTTTTATTGGTAATGTCATTGTAGTTTTGACTTAAATTTTTCTGATTGTTAGTGATGTTGAATATTTTCTTGTGTGCTTATTGGCCATTTGTTTATCTTCTTTGGAGAAATGTTCAGAACCTGTGTCCATTTTTAGATTGGGTTATCTTTTTATTGTTGATTTGTAAGAATTCTTTATGTATTTTGTATCCAAGTCCCTTATATATACAGTTTGCAGAAATATTCTTCTATGGGTTGTGTTTCATGTTCTTGATGGTGTCCTTTAAAACAAATGTTTTTAATTTGATGAAATTCAATTTATATTTTTGTTGTTACTTCTGCTTTTGGTGTCATATTTAAGAAACTGTTGTCTGATTCAAGATCAGAAAGATTTATGCTTGTTTTCTTCAAAGAATCTTAGAGTTTTAGTTCTTGCATTTAAATCTTTGATCCATTTTGAGTTAATTTTTATTGTGTTGACCAGAAAGTTCATTCAGGTTTTTCCAGAGGTATTATGGAAAAACACAAGCTTACTTTTTGGCCAACCCTTTTTTTATGGTGTGAGAGAAGGGCTCAGCCTCATTCTTTTGCATATGGATATCTAGTTGTCTCATTATCGCCTTTTTATGAAAGTTACTGACTTGTTTAAGCAGCAACCTCTTTGATAGTTTTAGATACATAGAAGCTTTCTTATGGCTGTTTTGATCCTGAAAAAAAAGCTGTGTCACAATTTTATATTGTAGCTTGTAAAGACTTATCTTTGGGGACTTGAATACAGTCGTAAGTATGTAGTTTTCTAATGTCTGATGTGATATGTAAAGCCATTTTAGAAATCTCACATGGTAGTTCTCGGCTGGTGATATGTATCAAAATTCTTTTGGAGGGGAGATGGTCTTTTTAAAACACACATGCAGATACTCTACCCTTAATCTACTGAATCAGAATTTCTGGGTAGGAGCTGAGCAAGCTGTGTATTACATATGTAAGGGACTTGGATCCAAAATATATAAAGAATAATAAAATGTATCTGGATAATGAATGGATGCTGTGGTTTGCTGGTAAATGTTTGACAATCGCTCAGAAAAAAAAAAAAAATTGTAGGATTTACCAGTTTCTTTGGTGTACATATTCCCATCATGGTTAGTTTCAAGCTACTAAAATGGTATCACTGAGTACAGAGTTGGAAAGTGTGGGAATACACACATACACACAATAAACCACAAGAGAAAATATACTAAAATATTTAGGAAGTGAGTTTTGAATAATTATTGCTTTTGTTTTTAATATTACTTGTTAGTTTATATGATTTAATTTTTAATTACAGCTTGTGCATTCCTAAAAATTTAACAGTTGCCTCTTATGAATCAATGTGAGCTGGCTCTAGTATACCATTAGGTGGATTGTACTTAATATAAAGGGCAGACATCTAGAATTCATATTCTGAACACATTACTTTAGGAATTATTATTCAATGCTACTGTCATTTTTCTTATCTGTAAAATGGAGGTGATATCCATATTACTGTGTTACTGTGAAGAAAATACATGTAAATCAAGTAACATGACTGACTATGATGACAGCTTAATAAATGGTATGTTCTTATATAAGAATAGCTCTTTAGCTTTTTCTCTCTAATATAGTTTGAGGCTGTTAATAGAAGACAAATATCGACATTGGAGGTTTAGGTTTTTAACAGATACCTAAATGTAAGTAGTTGTTGATCGTAAAAGTTTATATGTTCATATCATTTTAGTAGACAGCAAAGTTGCTATTTTGTTAAGAAATTCAAAACCTGATTCTTGCTTTTCCTTGATGAGAAAGCCCTCAGAGACACTGAGTTTCATGCACACCTAAGGGATAAAGTCTCAAGATTCACAAGTAGTCAGGTTTTAGGGAATTCACTATCTAAATTTAGAGAAAACTGTTAATAAGTTTGGATGCCAGGTATGAATTATATTGAGTTACATATCTGGCTTGAAAACACGTGCTGATCATTTCTGTGATACATTCCCTACTGTAACATGTGTGACTCTTGATCTTCACATGATGAATTTCTATGGGCAAATCAGATGTAGTTTAGGTGGGGGCAACTATAGCAGATAACATAGCATAACTAAGATAGCATGTGTGTGGTTTTCCACAAATTGTGATTCCACTGCTTCTCTCACTGGTCTCAACTCCAATGTGTGTGAATTATGAGGTTGATACACCCTGATTTTGTGGAGAGACAAATTCATAGACTCTAATTCTATAGACTGTAGTACTGTTAGAGAGATGAGCAAAGCTCACAATGGAGGGGAAAAAGTAGCTGCCTGGGGAAGCAGAGTACACTTCAGAGAGAAATGACATTTGCAGTGGGTATTGAAGAATAGATGGAGGGAGAGGTGAAAGTCAAGGAAGAGAAAGAAAACCAACACAAGAACAATACGGGGTTTTAGAGGACTGGTGTGTTTGAGGACCTATGAAATGGAAATAATGGTGTGTGCGTGTGAGATGAGGGCTGACAAGATCTATCTTGTTCACCATTTCACCTCCATACCCTGGAACTAGTAAGGTCACTTATTGAATAAATGAAAAGTGATTCTGATGTGTAGCCAGTGTTGAGAACTCCTGATGACCTCAGGTCTGTGCTGTCCAGTGGGGCTGTTGAACACTTGAAGTGTAGCTAGTCTAAATTGAGATACACTGTAAGTATAAAAAACATACTGAATTTCAAAGACATAGTATGAAAAGAAAGTCAGATATCTTGTTAATAACTTCTGTGTTGGTTGTGTGTTGTATTGGCAGTATTTTGGACATATTGGCTAGTCTGGGTGATTTAAACCGAACTTAGTACAATGAAACTGAATTTAATATGGTGAGAGGCTTATATGAGATAGAGCAGGTAGGATTTGATGACCAAAAGAATGAGTGGAAGGCAGGTGTTAAGTCTAACTACAGGCTTTCCATGCCATTAAGCAAGATGGAAAGGAGAGAGAATTGTTTTCTGGCTCTTTTGTACACTCTGCTCATAGCATCACAGACAACTGTGTTTTGATGCTGTTTTCTGTATTTGCACAGACACTGTTGTGCGATTTTAGAACATTTATGAAATAACATGTGTACTCTTATGGTGCTGGAAACTTTCACCCAGTCTGTACAGCTTTCCAGACGCCGTAATTGTTTTCTCTAACAGAGATTTGTTATTTTACGTCATTCGAATACAAAGATAAATCGCTTTGAAAGCCAAGTTCTGTTACAGAGTCAGGAGGAGTATTTGAGCATTTGTTGATGATTAAGGCATGAATTGAGAACTAATTTCTAACATGAAGTTTTCTATCTCTGGGATCTGCACCTCCCAGAGTGTTTACAGAATCATTAGTTTTGCTTCATAGTCCCCTCCCAGTTCATTCCTGTTCCCGATTCCTGTCCCCTCATCACCTAAAAAGATTTCCTTGTTCTTTTTCTGCATCTTGATACATCTGCCTAGATGAGAAAGAAGTTTCACTGACTAAGGAAGAACATAGGACTAGATCTGTTACAAAAAGCTGACTCATATAGTGGAGGACTTTAAGTCACAAAGCATAATTAAAGTTTTATAACTATTCTTAAGTAAGTCTCTTGGCCTTGCTTTTTATCTTTAAAATAAAGATACCTGCACCAATATGTCACAAGTTATAGTGAGAACATAACTATAACTGCATATATGTAAAAATTCTTTGGAATTTACATACATGTGAAAAACTTTGGAAAGAATAAAACACAGTAAATGTAAAGCAGGAAGAGTAGAGAGTCATCAA